TCAATCCAAATTGAACTGTATGAAATTATAAAAAGACATATTTGTCTTGTAGTAAATAAACAGGGCGACCTGGAGCCATTCCTGCAATTTCCCCACAGGTGAAAGAGTTGACCTGCTGAAAACCCAACCCCTGCAGGGGGGTCTGGGGGGATTCTCCCACAGGAGATTTTTTGAAATACTAACATAAAATACACATTCTGGTACTCTCTTGAGAAGAAAAATAAATAAATCTATTACTACACATTTAAAAAAATGAATGCCATTTTTGTTTTGTGTTACTTTGTTCTGAAAGCTGAACCTGCTGCTCCTCACAGAGAGAAGAGGGAAGAGGCTGTGTGAATTACTTTACATTGTGGATAAGGGTTGATAGCCCCCATTGTTCTGTGTGTCAAAATGAAAGACAGCCCACACACCTATCAATCATCAAACCGTGGGGTCTTATTTCATTACGTGTTGATTTCTATCAACACGTAATGTTGTATCGATGTAGCCAGATGTACTACAGCAAAAGTATTCTCCGTCGGGACTTCCTGCAACAACACCACGCCGTTATCGTGATTCTGAGTGGCCAGAAGACATTATCAAAGATGTTTTATTGAGAAGACGATCACTACGGGACAAAAGTTTTCAAAACCGTTTCTAGTCTTCGGTATTTCCAGACAAGTGGCTACTGAAATCAATCTTACTAACTGCTGTCTGTGCAATTTACTCCGCGCGAGTTGGCGGACTTTATTTTGCTTACTTTAACATCATTTTTCATGGTGGGGCTAAGGTGGGGCTAAGTCATTTCTTGGTATGGCTGTAGCCTACCCCAGCCATACCCTGGCGCCGCCACTGATTACAGGATAGAGGAAATACAGAAAAACTGCCGTTGCAGGAAAGACGGCCGGCAAAAATCACCGACTGTGTGAACGTGAACATTAATAGAATATCCCCTCCCATCTTCAGAGCAATCTGACTATTATAACATTAGCGTTAAGAAAGCTTACTTAAATATCTGCCACAACATAAGTAACCGGATCAGAGTAACATTAAGTACAGTCTGCGGCACTGTGAGTGCAGACGTCGATGTGTCCCATTATCATTCATATCATATCACATCATAATGTATCATAATATTTCCTTATCTGAGTCAGCTGAGCCGTATCTGGCCGTGCAACACTCACAGTGTCACATACTGTATGCAGAAGTATTATTTTAAGCAACACATTAAGTTGACGAAACACTCGAGGCAAATGTAATTAAAGTCAGATCCACTCGTGTCTTATACGGGGCAGTGATTTCATAAACCTGTTAATGTATGCATTCAAACGCTTTTTCTTTTACCAACTGTATTCACCTTGCAGGTGCAGCTATGTGGCTTTTATCCTGGATAAAGTGTTTAAGTCATGGATGTTTAAAGTTTAACTTCTTCATATTTGACTAATATTAAAGTTCACTTTTCATTCAGGAAGTATGACGCTGCGCTGTCAGTATGCTTGTCCATGTTTGAGATTGGTCGAATGCTCCAAATACCACCCCTTTCATGTGAACGCGCACCTAAAAAGTGTTACTTCACTAACTGTAAGCTTGTCACTCAGAGTAACCTACAGTTAACTTAACTGTTGGAAAATAAAGATCAGGGGGGGGAGAGAGCTGTGGGTGATGGGCCATTAGGTGTGTGAACACACAGCTGAGAGCTGCCGTTTCATTCTGACTGTTTAAAAAACGGGAACAACGGACTATTTTTCTTGGCGGATGCATGTCAATTTAAATCAATACATACAACTATTTTTTAAATCAATAAAAACATTTTCTAAATCCATAAAAGCATTTCAATTAATATTGGGAGTCATGTCGTTACTTTGTTGAGAATGTGGCCATGTAATAAGCGGGATAATTTGCAGCGACTTGGTCATTATGGGGAAAAATAACACCCAGGGATCAAGATCCCTCCGCTATGCGGATCTTGATCTGCCTGACAAGGCTCCATTAAAATATAAATATTTTTAGTGAATTACTGAGTTTAGGCACGTTAATAACATTTTAATGAAGTTGAATACAGTATATTCATATTTGTCAGTGATTTCATGTCAATTCGGCGAACATAAACATAAATGATCGTGGTGAAGATGATGATTAAATTAGGATTAAAAATCGAGAGCCGGCTGCATTTCCTCTCGTTCGTTTTTTTCGACTAAACAACATTATTTTGTTAAATAACAACATGGTGATGTTTTGTAAATGATTACATGTCTTATTTAGCACAGACTATGATCCTATCCGTGACATATGGATCTTAACAAAGATCCGCTATACATTAGTACCAGACATACTGTACATTGTGGTGATTGACATTATTCACCCACGGATCTATGGGTTGGGGTATTGTTCCGCACGGACATTTTAGTGAACCAGACCAGCTGTTTCCGCCGGTCTTCGCTTCCCGGGCATGAAGTTGTTTACATGTGTGTTCAGATGCTAAATAAAAGTTTAGCTTGTACTTTTGATACCCCGCCTCCGACTCCCGTCTCTCGGCACCACAACATCCAGTTTACTGTATCGAAGTTGATTTCACATGAGCTCCAGTGTGGAACCCCACTGCACCCCCTGGTGGATCAATGATCCATTGCAGCTGGCTTCACAATAATTACATTTATTTATCACGGGGGCGGTATCAAGTCAGACTGGGGGCCGGCTCTTCATCACGGGCCGATCACGGACCAATCACGGACCAATCACGACCCTCACGTTTCAAACTGTCCAAAATAAGACGCTCCATCTGTAACTGCAAATGTCTATCAGAACATGTCAAATATTTTTTCATCAAATGCTTGATGTTAATATAATGTTTCCTCTTTTTTTAACACATGTTGTAATATATGTTTTATTATAGACTTGCTTTCTGTGGACTCTCAGAGAGTCACTATGAAGTCGTGGCCTCAGCTCTGAAGTCTGACCCCTCCCATCTGAGAGATCTGGACCTGAGTAGGAACCCTCTGGATTATTTAGGAGTGGAGCTGCTGATTTCTGGACTAAAGAGTCCAAACTGCAGACTGGAGGCTCTCCGGTCAGTTCACTGACTGCAGTTCATATTGATCTGTTTGTGTTTATGATTTTCTGAATTTTAACAAATACAATGTTATTGTTATTCTTTCCATTTTTGCTAATGACTGAATATTGATCAGAGTAACAGAGAGAAGGTGAATGTGTGAGGGAGAGTGTTTGAGCTTCCACAGACTCACTCTGTGCTCCATGAGTCAGTGGAGATGCTGTCAGTACTGATGAGCTGTGAGGAAGATGAAGGAGTTGTTAAACATCTGATCAAAGTTAAAGTTCCAGATTATCAGTGGATTGTTTCTGCATCATCTCTGACATTAAAACCCTGTTTCACTCTGAACAGATTATTAAACCTGGAGTTATTTCAAACGGGAACATTGTTTTCTAAAGTTACATCATGTTTTCTTTATTCAGTCTGTGGAGCTGCAGTTTGTCAGACATCGACTGTTCTGCTCTGATCTCAGCTCTGAAGTCCAACATCCATCTGATATATCTGGACCTGAGTGACAACTTTCTGCAGGATTCAGGAGTGGGGCTGCTGAGAGATCTTCTGGAGAGTCCAGACTGCAGACTGCAGACTCTCAGGTCAGTTCACTGACTCTCTGTTACTGCTCGAGATCTCACATGTTCACTTTGGAATTTAACCTCATTTATATTCATTAATAACTTACATCCATAAAGTTGTAAATGTCCTTTTATTCATATTTCATTTTTAAGAGTAAGAAGAAAGAACTGCAGACATACATGTTGAGTGTTTCTTAAAGTAACTGTAATAGATGTTGGTTGTAAAAAGTAAATCTATGTATTTAATATTTAGTAAACAATGACGTCTGAATAAAGGTCATCTGAAGTCATTTTAGTTTTATATTGTGGTGGGAATTTATTCATCAAATGTGGAGAGAGAATCAAAGCATTCAGCTGTCTTTGTGGTATTTTATTTCTTGAAGAAAGTTCAGTCAGTCACACAGAGAGCATACAGTCTGCAGAGAGGAAGAGGAAGAGTAGAGTTTGGGTTGCATATTTAAACACAGAGAGAGGAGAAAGGGAGGGGGGAAGCTTGGTGATGATGAAGGAGCATTCTGGGAGTTAGGGAGGCCGTATCAGGAAGTTCTCAGTTCACCTGAGGTGAAGGTCATACTGTTGGTGCACATAGAGAGTCACTAACAACACTGCAACACATCTTCTTCATAAGGACTTTCCCCAAGCTTAGCTAAGAAGAGTGAGAAGTAGTAAATATAGATAAACATTAGCAAATAAGAATCACACAATGATATTATTAAAGTAAGTAAGTGAGTATAATTGTTGTTGTTGTTGAGTAACATCTGATTGGATTAAACAGATTTTTATCCTCATCATGTTTTCTTTATTCAGACTGGAGCGCTGCTGTTTGTCAGAGATCAGCTGTTCTGCTCTGGCCTCAGCTCTGAAGTCCAACATCCATCTGAGAGAGCTGGACCTGATTCACAACGATCTGCAGGATTCAGGAGTGGAGCTGCTGAGAGATCTTCTGGAGAGGCCAGACTGCAGACTGGAGACCCTCAGGTCAGTAAGGGGTCTCTGCTGGTTCAGCAGTATTGTATGAAACACAGGGAGGTGTTTCTCTCACTGGGGAATCACAACAGATCAGTGATGTTACCCACTGACTGCAGGCTCTTTCATTCTTCCATCAACTATAGAAGGCCAGCTGAAAATGCAAAGCCACATTTAGTAAGTAATCAACTTTCCACCAGACATATGGGATTTGACAGAAGAGTGGAAAAGGTAGTCTGTTTTTGATGGGATGTTTTTAGCTCCTTGACTAATGACTGTTACTTCCTGTAATGCAGCTGAGAGCTGTGGCAGTCAGTCGTAGTGTTTGCAGAGAAGATATGATGGGATGTAAAGCATGAGATCAGTCAGGACTCTGAAGCTGACTCAAAGAACAAACACTTATTTTAAACTGGATCCATAACTGTTGGATTGTGTTCATCCCTACAGGATCAGAGATGATGAGACGATCAGAGCCACGATCCAGAAGAACTGTGAGTACTGAATATCCTCCATTCATCAAGATATGAAACTCTTTAATGGAGCATGTCCTCAGAGGAAAACAACACTCTTGTTTTTCTCTCTTCATCTTCTGAATATCCTCCATTCATCAAGATATTAAACTCTTTCTCAATATACTTGAGTAAAAGTAGAAGTACTCAGATATTGTACTTGAGTAAAGGTAGAAGTACTCAGATCTTGTACTTAAGTAAAAGTAGAAGTACTCAGATCTTGTACTTAAGTAAAAGTAGAAGTACTCAGATCTTGTACTTGAGTAAAAGTAGAAGTACTCAAATATTGTACTTGAGTAAAAGTAGAAGTACCAGAGTGTAGGAATACTCTGTTACAGTACAAGTCCTGCATTCAAAAATGTTACTCAAGTAAAAGTAGAAAAGTATTAGCATCAAAATATAGTGAAAGTAGCGACAGTAAAAGTAGTCGTTGTGCAGATTGGTCCATTTCAGAATAATATATATGATATGTTTTATAATGATTGATCATGAAAGTGTTCTCAAAGCTGGTAAAGGTGCAGCTAGTTTGAATGACTTTGTATACTGCAGGGTAGCTTGTGAATTTACTCCAGGTGGAACTAAAGTCTGATTTAACACTTGATTATATTTCACATCATTCATCCACATCTGTAAGGTATTAAATACATGTAGTGGAGGAAAAGTACACCATGTACCCCTGAACTGTAGTGGAGTAGAAGTACAAAGTAGAATAACATGGAAATACTCAGGTAAAGTATCTCAACATTGTACTTAAGTACAGTGCTTGAGTAAATGTACTTAGTTCCTCTCCTGATCTGTAAAGCTCTCTCAACATATGCAGGTTAGCATCCGGCAGCTTCTATGTGCTGGGGACCCGTACTGTACATTTCTCTCATCACACTTTGGGCTCCTCAACATGTGTGGGTTCCCAGCAGGACTCTCTGAGCTGCAGACACATTCTTTCTGTGACTTTGTTCCAGATATTTGGAGCATAATAACTGAAGCTGTTTCTCCATGTTCAGGAACTCCCATCCCCCGAGTCCTGCGGCAGGAAGCGCTCCTTCTCTCCAAGAACTCCTGGACCCTGCAAGCTGGTCCAGAACCAGAGTCCCAGTGAGGAGTCCAGCCAGTCGACCTCTCAGAGTTAAACTAAACTACAACATTATTAAAGATCATGTTTAAAGTTAAAAAAGGATGCTTTCAGACTGAATCCAGAAGTTTCTCAAGCTGCAGTCAAAGCAGATCATTTGTGAATATATATATATAAAAATAAAAAAAAACTATAATAAGAATTACTTACTACTTACTTACTACAAATATTTGAAATGTTTCTGACTCTCTATCTGAGTGCTTTTCTCATGAATTAACGACTTAAATCTTGTTTTGTTTTCTTGTTTATTTCATAATCCTATAGGATATTTGATTTTTCTTTCATGTAACTTTAAGACTAAATATTATTTTCTCAGCTCTGTAATAAAAAAACAATAAAGCTTAAATATGCTAAAAACTGTGTTAAAACTCTGATAGTTCTCATAGTCATGTATCGTATAGTTTAATGCTTTAGCAATATAAACAGGATGTATAACAGAAATCCTGACATGGGTGCTCATAAAGACCCATGTTGCAAAGTTCGCACTTCCCCTTTGGAGGAGAACATCTGTTATGTATTTCCTCGCTGGAAGTGAACAGTTAACCACAGCAACGAAGAAGGACACCTCTAAACGCACCAGCTTGCACGCAAAGCATGTGACAAACCACGTGTCAGACCATGTGACAAGCCGCGGGAAAGAAGAGGATAAAAGAAGACTGAAGAACATAGGAGAGCAGTTCCTCTTTGAACCCAGTTCGAACTTGAACTTTCCTGCTTCAGCAAGCTACGGAAGACGATCGTATACTTACTCGTATTTAGGCAAAGATCTCGGATGTAATATGTATCTGTGCAAAACGCATTTAATTTTTTATTGATGTGTGGTGTTATAACTTGTTAAACTTTAATAAAACTACCTGTTCACATTTGTGAGAGGAAACTAAAGTCCATGTAGCCCTTCTGATTATTGTTGAATAGGTGACAAGTCAGACGGCAATGTAACCTGTTCCCACGTAGCTTGAGTCCTGAGTCCAGTTTGATTCCAGTGTCCTGTTCCTTGGCTGAGGATCAATCCCTGACGTAGTCTTGCAGAGACACCAGAGAGAACAATAGGTAAGTCCCCCCTAAGATAACTCTGTTGCTGGATTCTATGTCATATTGGAGGTCGCCACGATCGGTGGATCTTAAATATGGCAGCAGTGCTTTACGGGTATTGAATCCCAAGGTTTCAGAGGTGTGTTCATTAAGGTCTGTGTTTAAAGTCTAAAGGGAAAAACTAACAGGGTAAAAGTTGATATATGTGTAAATTGTAAAACTGATGAATGGAGGTAGTATAGAAAGAAGGGAGTTTGTCGGTACCTCGTGGTGGTGTGTGGGTCACACCTTTTATGCCCGGTCTGAGTAAAAACCGTAACCTTTTAACAGTATGCATTAAAACAGTATATTACTGCAGTTTTCTCTTTAACCAATTTTAGATCCATGTCTCATTTGCAATAGGTGCTACCTGAAACAATAAACTAAAACTGGGATACAATTTAAATAAAATATGTTTATTGATTTCATTTCAATATTAAGTTCAATATGAAAAACATGGTAAAATAGGACAGTTCATAACAGATATAAATATAACAGTTCATAACTGATATAAATACAACAGTTTATGACAGATATAAATACAACAGTTCCTGACAGATATAAATACAACAGTTCATGACAGATATAAATACAACAGTTCATGACAGATATAAATACAACAGTTCATGACAGATATAAATACAACAGTTCATGACAGATATAAATACAACAGTTCATGACAGATTGAAATACAACAGTTCATGACAGATATAAATACAACAGTTCATGACAGATTGAAATACAACAGTTCATGACAGATATAAATACAACAGTTCATGACAGATTGAAATACAACAGTTCATGACAGATATAAATACAACAGTTCATGACAGATTGAAATACAACAGTTCATGACAGATATAAATACAACAGTTCATAACAGATATAAATACAACAGTTCATGACAGATATAAATACAACAGTTCATGACAGATATAAATACAACAGTTCATGACAGATTGAAATACAACAGTTCATGACAGATATAAATACAACAGTTCATGACAGATTGAAATACAACAGTTCATGACAGATATAAATACAACAGTTCATGACAGATTGAAATACAACAGTTCATGACAGATATAAATACAACAGTTCATGACAGATTGAAATACAACAGTTCATGACAGATATAAATACAACAGTTCATGACAGATTGAAATACAACAGACCAATTCAAATACAAAATCACAAGTAGTGAGGTCACAACATCAGATCACAACAGTAAATCTTCTGTAATTATGTGAAAGTAAAAGGGTCCCCTGCAAGAGAAGTGGGCAAAATGGAAAAGGCAGCATATCATTGAAAATGTTTTCTACTTCAAAACTGAAAAATTAAATACTATAGAGATCATACATGTATGAAGTACACATACAAAACATGTGGAATTAAAATACATGTTCAGCTTTACATGTCAAAAGTAAAGTGTCAAACCAAATCCTTACCTAACATGATGAGCCTTGGTGTGCCTGGTAGGGTCAGTTGAGCCTCAATGTCATCCTTGGTTGCAGACACACACACACACACACACACACACACACACACACACACACACACACACACACACACACACACACACACACACACACACACACACACACACACACACACACACACAATAATATGTTCAAATTAAAGTACAATACAATGTAATATTTGAAAGGCATAAATTATTACATGTTCATTGCACAAGATCATAATGTATAACTCCACTTACATCAGCCAAAAGGAAAAGAGCCTCTTCTTTGTCCTTGAAATGTGCCATCATGACCAGCAGAGAGATCTTGGTTGGAGGATTCCTCCTCGATTCGGGTGAGGACATTCTGAATCTCTGTCCTCCATTTGGTCCGCTGACTGTTGAAGCTGTTTAGCCATATAATACTGCAACTCAATCTCGAAAATAAAATACGAACTTTTAGGGGAAAAAAAACAGCAATAACAACTTTTAAACCTAAATAATCCGTTAAAGGTCACAGTGGTTCTCTCCTCTTGCTCCTGATATTTTCACAACGAAATATTGTACAGTAACAACAAAATGATACTGTAACATTACAGCACTATTTACAGTATTGCTGTAATATTACAGTATCGTTTTTTTAATTGCTGTATACATTTCCCGCCTAAGGACAATATTCCCACAATGCAGCAGCACTATGTACATAGTGCTGCAATACTGTAATGTTACTGTACATTGTACAGTAACAATGAAAAACATGGTAAAATAGGACAGTTCATAACAGATATAAATATAACAGTTCATAACTGATATAAATACAACAGTTCATGACAGATATAAATACAACAGTTCATAACAGATATAAATACAACAGTTTATGACAGATATAAATACAACAGTTTATGACAGATTACATTGGACAGTTCATGACAGATTCAAATACAACAGACCAATTAAAATACAAAATCACACCTGTCAAAATGGCTGACAGGTGAATATGTCAGATCTCTGTGTGTTACTCAGAGAACCGTGTGCAGTGTTTTAGAAAGTGCAGAGTTGAATTGCAGATTGTGTGCAGAGCTGAAAATGTGTTTAGAGTTCTGTTTGATTTGATCCAGCCAGTTCTGCCACAGCAAAGCATAAGGGCTCAGAGCTTGGACCTATTGTGTTCACATTATATACGCTTCCTTTAGGCAATAAGGAATCACTCAGTACATTTTCATTGTTATGCGGATGATACTCAATTATACACAATATAGACAAAAGTATTGGACCACCTACACATGAGAGAGATACCGCAGGTCCTTCCTTCCTGCAGCGGTCAGACTATATAACCACCACGACCCCTAGTAGACCCCCCACACCACAACACAGACTATAACACCCCTTGCTGTTAAATACCAACTATGTGCAATATACAATATACATATATATATATATATATATGCCGTTAAAAACTGTGTATTTTGTAAAACGTTTAACTTTTTTTATTATAATTTTTTTTTTTTTAATCTTGAATACTTTGTTGTATGCATGCTTTAGGTAACATGAAGCTGTCTTTGTCTCTTTTCTGCTGTAACAATGTACATGTATCCTCTGTGGGACTAATAAAGGGATTCTGATTCTGATTCTGATTCTGATTCTGATTACACCAACAGGAGCTTTCAGGACATCCCATTCCAAACTCTTAGGCATTCATTTGAAGTTGGTCCCCCTTTGCAGCTATAACAGCTTCCACTCTTCTGGGAAGGCTTTCTATAGATCTTGGAGTGTGTCTGTGGGAAGCCCTTTCATCCAGAAGAGCATTAGTGAGGTCAGACACTGATGTTGGACGAGAGGCTGGCTCTCCGTTCTAGTTCATCCCAAAGGTGTTCAGTGGGGATGAGGTCAAGTTCTTCCACACCAAACTCATCCACCCAGGCCTTGATGGAGCTGCTTTGTAGGGCTCAGTCATGCTGGAACAGAAAGCTTCTTCCTCCACAGACGGTTTTCTGGCTGTTTTCCACCAGATTGAGACTTGAGTTTCTTGGTGTTTTTCACAACAAATACAAATGCAAAACTCAAAAAAGTATTCTTGCTAATCATTGACGAATTACACACTGTGAAGAATAAATAATAAATGTAAAAAATGCTTTAAAGTCAATGTTGGTCCCAATTTTTACACATAAAAAAGACCACCATCAACATCGGTCTGTTCAGCAAGAAGACCTGCTTCAAGATCGACCCGGCCGACAAAACCAGGTTCACGGTCAAGGCTATCAGGAGTGAGTGGGAAACACACATAGACACTCGTTAGAGATCTGCTAGTTAAAGACTCATTACAGTGATCCTTTTTCACATCTCTGGTACAAAATAAGGTACAGAAGAGGATCAGGGCCACATGCGTACGGATAATAACAAATCCGGCCTGCAACTTCATTTAATGCGAGCCTCAAGAGCTCTGAATAAAATACGTTTATTATACAGTTGGTTACATGCGCGCTTTACAGAAGCACGTTGCCCATAAACTACATGTCCCACAATGCATCTCATTTTGTGACATGAGCACTGAAGAGACTTGCAGTTATCTGCCCTAGACTTCTGCTTTCAGACGTAGTTAATTATGAAGTTATTACCCTATCCGATAATAATCCAATGCAGAGGCAATAATGTGATATAATACATTATTGCCTCTGTCTCCTAGAATCTGACTTTTTTCTTAGAATCTGACTTTTTTCTTAGAATTTGACTTTTTTCTTAGAATTTGACTTTTTTCTTAAAACTTGACTTTTTTCTTAAAACTTGACTTTTTTCTCAGAATTTCACTTTTTTCTCAGAATTTGATTTTTTTCTCAGAATTTGACTTTTTATTTTTATTTTACTTTTTTTTAATTTAATCATCCCTTCAGGTGTTTGTCACGTGGGTCTTGTTGGTTTGTTTTTAGTCCACCTGTTGTTTGCCAGTAATGAATACGACACAGAGGCTGAGCTCATGTTCTGATGAACGTTTGCTCCTCTCTAAGTTACAAACTGTAAAGAGAGAAATGTAGAATGTGTGATATTGGGTTTTATAAAGAAACTCTCATTGATTGATTCTTCTTCTTCTTTTTTCGTTGCAGAGTTTGATATTTATCTGTTTCTGGTTTCCTCTCCGGAGCGTTGTTGTTCGTCTTTGCAGACTCACTCAGCAGGTCACTTTGTATGAAGACTATTTAACAACACTAAGATGCATTTAAATTAAAAAGGATAATAACATATTGAATCCCTCGTCTTCCTCCCCTCAATAAAGGAGTCAAGTGTTCTTCTCCTCTGCTGGTATGAGCACCGGCATGATCGCCTCTCTCATCATCGTCGTCCTCCGAAGGTAAGGACT